GTGAGCAATATGCGTCCATTGAACAACGGGGAGGGGCTTTTCGGTGGGTGCCTGTCAATTTTGTACGAGGGCTTTGTCGATCGGCACCCCAAGCGGCCCCTAGCGGTGGCGAAATTGGCCGTCGAATGCATTTGGAAATCCTCGATGGGACAAAAATGCCCTCTGCAAAAAATGCCCTCTGCATTTGGAAATCCTCAATGGGACAAAAAATGCCCTCTGCATTTTTTGTCCCATCGAGGATTTCCAAATGCATTTTTGTCAACCTTCTCCAGGGTCAAGATCAGGCCATCCTGGGAATCAAACTTTCGTCTGAGATTGGGAGAAGTTTGTCGTCGTTGATTCTTGGTGCAAATGCTTATCATTGGTTTACAGTGAATGTTCATATGTATTTTAGAAAGCACCGTTGCATATATAAATATCTCAAAACGCTATATACGTAGAAAAAAAATACACTTGCAAGTATAGATACAATCAAAAGACAGTAAAATCCGATGATAATAATGATGATGACAACTACACTCGCAATAAAGTATAATGAAAAACAAACTGCGATAAAAGCTTATGATGATTATAAAAATAATAATAATAATACACTCAGTGCAGGCTAAGAGTCACAATTCTTGACATAAGCAGGGATAGCATCACAATATTGGTTCAGGACGTTTGTCTCAAGGTGCAAATTAGAATGCGAATTTGATCAACAAATACTCCACTGATTATCACAAGCAATGCAAGTAGCATACGCGTCAAAGAAAAAATAAATATATATGATATGAATACTCATAGGTTATTTTAGGCAATGAACTGTGAACAAGTCACCCGGATAGTGCTTTGATGGGTGACTACTATGCATACAGGTGTTATGATGTGCGGAGGCCCTGGATGAGATGGTCAGAGGGACTGACAGGCAGGCCTCGAAAGAGGTGGTTGGAGGCAGTGATTCAGGATGTGAAGGACCGTAGAGTGGACGTGGAAATGATGGCCATGGACATTCTGTGAAAAGAGCTTTATAGCTCATCGGATTCCTCCAGTATCAACAAAGATGATGAGGAGCGGGAAAACAGACTCCGCATGAGTGGGAAATAATCCAGGAGTAAGAAGAATATATAAATTACAAATTTAAATTAAATTAGCATCACGGGGAAATAAACACACTGCACCGATGAGACAGGAAAAAAAAGAAACAATAAAAATGTGATTGTAAAATGAGAAAACAAAAAACTTTCTCAAATCAAATCGCAACCCTGAACATTGACAATTCATCAAATCTCTGCAGAGGTGAAGATTTAAAAGTCTAGTAAAAGATCAAGGTTGCAGCCCCTGCAATACCTTTCTCATACACACTGCTGGTGAAAGCTCCTACACTAGAGGAAGCTCCAGGGATCCGTTGCATTCTGGGCCACCACTTCGACTCTACCCAGACGTGTTGGAATATGTGGCAGTGCCCACACTTTGCCTCACCGCACAGGACCGGCCGATCGACTAGCTGCAGCGTACATATGGATAGTTGCGGGTGGACAGAGCCACAGGGGCAGGTTTTCAGAAATTTGCCACATCGTTTTAACCGCCGAGCCCGGAGATCGATCGGGCGCCCTTTGCATTGCAAGTCCTGGATGCTATCCATGGCACCACAGCAGCGCCCTGATATCAACATGGATACTAGGAGTGATTTTCATGGATAGGAGCAGATAATAGAATCCGTCGAAGAGTATTGTCTCTGCCCGCCATATCAACGAAGATAAAAAAAGGATTTCCATCGTAATGCGTATGTTTAAAAACAATCAAGTGAGAGAATTCCACACTTGCAAGATGTGGCCTAGAAATGGAAGATTACGCGCGTTCAAAACCCAACCGCGAGGACTCGGCATCCTCCCGAGACGTAAGTCTACCGAACTGGAATTTAAAGTGGTAATGTAATCTGATGGAGGAAGGAGAGGTGCAGTGGTTATTGTGCTGCACTCTGAATTCGGTCTGCTTGAGTCAGAATCCCGACCACGGCTAACATCAGTGATACCTGAACTGCGATTGTGCCCCATCTCCCTTCAGCAACCCACATTGAACCGGAGTGGCGAAGTATGATGAAAACATCCAGCAGTGGATTGACAAAAAGGATTAACATTATTTGTGTTTTGATTCATCATAATCTGATGCGTTTCCGGATATATCGCTGACAGGGTCATTTATCTGCTATGAAGAGGGCCCACTTCCCAAAATGTCGCCTTTTATGTATTTTCCTTTTAAAGCCCCACACGCACACACATGCGCTGTTGTTATTGATCGACGCGAGGTGTTTGTTGTCGTTAATTGAGCATGTGCACCGTTGCCAAAGCGGCAGCACGCATTAACAAATTATCAATTCGACACGCTCAAGACGCTATAAGCCACTTCGTCGGGCGATCCTTTGTGATCTGCTCAAGTTTCCTAAATTTTGCACTTTCTGACCCGTCCCTACTGGACATCTCAAGAAAAAGAGCTTCATTGCTCCTCGGATTCCTCCAAACCCCCCCCCCCAAAAAAAAAGGTTCTGATTCTGATTTGCGATGCTGCCACATTTCAGTTCAGGTGCCTTCGCAGATGCCCACGACGAAGGCGACACATTGTGTACCGTACAATGTCGACCTCGCGCATTGCCAACCTCGTGATGTTTGTCTGCGTGTCCCAAGTGTGTGCACGACTGCTCATAAGCCTCATCCCCCGTCCATGTGTCGTGATGAGTGCGCGGCACCACGAACCTGGTGACACCAGTTGGATTTTCGCGCACGGTCAACACCAGCGACGACTATCTGAACCGATCGTCGGCCTCCCCAAGGTCGACTCAGCCTCAAATGAGTGCCTGTGGTGTGGTGTGTAAAAACATCGCTACTGGGGAGACAAAGGCGGTCGGGCGTGGTGCTGGCCACCGTACCCCTTCGAGCACCGTGCCGGCCTTCATAGGTGCTACTCGCTAACAGCACTTGCCCTAACAGTCTGTTAAGGCTATACGGGGTATCTTCGTCTTTATTGCTGCTGACCATACGCCTCTATCTCTTTCATGTGCACCCTGTCATAACACGGATTCTAAAATTCATCATGAACCAACACTACGATGTTGTCTGCTGCTATGAACAGCTAATGTAAATCCGTCCTATCCAAACCCATGATCTGCACGCCGAGGCTGGACGTTAAGAGAGTTTCCGCAGCGTGGCATTGGCAAGAGACAATACTTTCAAGTGACACCTTTGAATAAGTTCCCCACGCACACACACACGTCAACTGTCCGTTTCTGCGAACTGTATCAATGCGTAAGAGATGTGGTCCCGATTGAATGAGTTCGTGGGTTTGATCCTGACCCTGCATATTTGGAATTTGCATATTCTCCCCGTGGTTGCGTGTATTTTTCTCCGGGTCCTCTGCCTTTCCCCCTCCACATTTAGAAACAGCATGCCTTGAGAGTATTTGGCTGCTAGAAATTTGCGCGTGATAAGCCACCTCGTCGAGCTACACATAGCTCAGTGGGCCTTAACTGGTAAAATTAAGAAAATAGTTTAGGAGTAGTTACTCGCCTTGCAATGAGCAGCCGGCACGCTTACTGAAGATGGCACAAATAGTAGATCAGGGGCCAAGTTTGCTACACTGCTTCTCACGCGCAATGAGCAAAGAAGTTCCGTTTGACACATTTGCCTCAGTGAGCAGCCAGAGAGGGAGAGACACACACACAGTATGTATGTACGTTGAACTTATTTGGCATCGTACGTAGCCAATCTTGTCCATCGGAGGTGCAGGGGGAAGGACAACAAATGAAACCCGAAAAAAGTAGTGCGAAAGAAATGAGTTTTCAATCTAGATTTAAAAGTGCATAGCTTCCAGTAATGTCAGAAGGAAGAGCGTTCCAGACGGCCGCAGAAGCGCATCTGAAAGCGTGCGCGATACGGTGACCGTCTTTGTTCGATGGTTAGCAAAACGCTGCTGTGACGATAACCGGATTTCGCGTGATGGTGTATGCTTGTTGACGAGATCAGCAAGGCTATTGTGGTTCATTTGTGGCGAGCACTTTGTGTGTAATGAGCGCGACCCTATAATGTATTCGTTCGGCAACTGGACGCCAATGCAGGAGACAGAGACGCAGACAGAGCAAATTCAGAAACACAGATCCCCGGACACAGAGAGACAGAAGACAAAGTGACGAAGGAAAAAAAAACACGCGGCTATTGGGTGGCAAAATGTCGCACAGGGACCCTTTTCAAATTGGCGTCAGGATGGCACTAAACACATGCACGCGCTCACCAAAATTGGCAAGGCTAACCCGCAACGCTCATGCATCATGCACGAGTGGCTGCAAGCTGTGTGAGCAATGGCGCAGGCAAAAACAACGACTGGTTGCAGGCGATTGTCCACGATGACTCACGATACAAAATAAGAATAACAAATACGTTATCAATATTGATACGATTGTCCGAAATGTTGCCGTGAAACAGCCCGCAAGGCGCGGCTTTCGCGAGCCTCGTCAATCAGGTCAAGTGCAGGTTTCTTTCCCGCACGTGAAAATAAACTCAAGCTATATTCTCATGATACTAAGTGGTAGGGAGCTGCAGGTTAAAGAGCGCGCGCCAAGTGAGCGAGTCGAAGGGGAGCGTGTGGCTTCAGGGGCGTGTGGGTTCGTCGGCTTGTGAATTTATCCTCGGTCGTGAGAGTGAATATTCTTCTTCTTCTAACCACAGCCGCTGAGCACAGGAACAAAGGCCCAAAATGTCATGCGGCCAGCAGCAAACACGACCGTTTGGCGAACCATCGAACGAGGATGGTCACCGCATCGTGCGCTTTCAGATGCGATTCTGGGGCCGTCTGGAACGGTCTTCCTTCCGATAGCCGCTGGAGCTATGAAATTTTAAAATCAAGATTGAAAACTCATTCCTTTAGAACTGCTTTTTGTGCTTAGTTTGTTGTCCTTCTGCCGCACTTCAAATTATCATGGCTGTTTACGTTACGGTGCAATAAAAGTGTAATATACTCTACATACATACCGTGAACTTCACTCAATGCTTCTTCCACCCGTGTTGACGAATTGGTCTACCAAATTCTTTAATCACATCCGCGCTGGTGGCCTGGTATACAAACGAAGCCCGACTTGTATCCACGCTCAGGCCTGTTTTTTTTTCCGGGTTCGGCACGACGTCCGACGTTTCGCTGCGCATGCCGCGATCTTCATCGTCGACTGGTGCCATCGTGCTGCTGCAGAGAACGCGGAGCAGAGCGCTCGGACATCGTGAACGAGCGCCGCGCGGGTACAGCCCGAGGAGACAACGGAGAGCCGAGCAACAACATCGCGAGAAATCTCACGCATTAAGCCCTCTTATCCACGCCGACGTGGCAGTGCTGTTGGCGGATCCTAAATCCATGCCCGTCTGTGAATATAACCCCCGATATCTGTGCATTAACATGGATAAGGGGTTAGGATTACCATCGCTTCTTGGTCACTTTTCTTTCAGTGTTAAAAAAAGAACGTAGAGAGGAGGAGGAAAATAAAAACAAAATCGATTTGCGGATCGTAGAATTGTTTGCCAATTGATTTGTCGCGGATATTAGGAGTTGCAGGTAGTTAATCGGTCCATGGATGAGACGCCTTATACTTCACTCACTCCTCGCATCATTAATTTACCCCATTCATGCAGATTTACTGCAAGGCAATGGAACTGTAACAAGGTAAAAGTCAAAGGTGTCGCACTGAAATGCCTTGCTCGTGCCCGTCAACTAACCAAGGCCCTACCGATTTCTACACAACTGCTGCGGCGAGGGGAGGAGATGAAACCGACGACATCTGGAATCCAAGTCGAGCGTGCTAACCAATTACCCCCAATGCAGCATTCCAAATGAAAAAAAAAAGTTAAAATGTTACGAATGTAAACAATTCTTTACGTTAAAAAAGCAAGCAGTTTTATGGAAAAAAAAACTACATCAACTAAAAATGTGCTGATTGTATTAAAAAAAAATGAACCTCAATTTCAGTTTACATCAGACGTGAGTAAGAAGCGCCGCATTTTTTTGAGAGAAAACATTGCTTAAAAAAAAAGCAAACACTTTTAAAAGATAACATGTTTGAACGGCAATGAAAGGTCGCAGACCAAAAAAACGTGTGCGTCGCGCGCCTCAACATCCCAACCGCCTGGGGAGAGAAAAAACAAAGGTACCGCTCATTAATTCTCCCCAGAAGAACCCCACACACGGACAGCTTCTGAATGTAACATCTGCTATCAACATTAAGCACTGAGAGCGGAATCCTCTCTAACACGGCCCCAGCAGCTCCTGCAGATCGAATTCCGCTGTCAGAAATTCAAACCGGAATTTATAAGGCTCGGGCTGCGAACCCCTATGAGTTTACCCACAATTCCTCAGTGGAAGAGATGGAGGAGGCGTGGGGGGTTCGAAGGGCGGTTGTGCAGTTGGGGGCATCCACTGGGACACAACACAAGCGGCCTTCATCAGGTGAAGGGACGAGACTGTCTGTCTTCATCAGGTGAAGGGACGATACTGTCTGTCTTCATCAGGTCTTCATCAGGTGAAGGGACGATACTGTCTGACAGTCTCGTCCCTTCACCTGATGAAGGCCGCTTGTGTTGTGGCCGAAACGTCGTGATAATTTTATTGTGTTATTTTATTTTATCAATGTATTATTTTATTCTCATTCTACGTGACTTTACCGAAAGAACCAAAGAAGATAAATCCTTGCAGTCATGAAAGCTTTAAATCGAAATTACATGTTATACTCTTTGGTTCTTTCGGCAAAGTCACGTAGGTATAAAATAAAATAAAATCACGACGTTTCGGGCGCGACGCAAGCGTCCATCATCAGGTGGGAAAGCGTGGTCTGCTGCCGAGGCAGACTGTTTTAACTGTTTTAAACTGTTTTTAAAACAGTCTGCCTCAGCAGGAGACCACGCTTTCCCACCTGACGATGGACGCTTGTGTTGCGCCCGAAACGTCGTGATTTTATTTTATACCCACGTGACTTTACCGAAAGAACCAAAGAGTGTGGATTCCCGCAGTCACGAAAGCTCCAAATCAAGATTACATGTTACATATATTTTTCATTTTAAGGCAGCGTTCATAACAAAGGATGTTTTGTTAGATCGCGTAAATATAAATGGGCCCTTAAACCACCACCAGGATAGAGCCAATGAGTAAGGTTTGTCACAACCCATGGCAGTGGATGCGGACACTTGATGCACAGATGGAAAATTAAAAACTATCCAGTGGTACGCAACTTTGGTTATCCAGAGCAGACGGTACAACATGTAACGACGCAATTCTGCCTGATCCATAAATACGAAGCAGACCACGGCGATACACTCCCCTGCTGCTGACGCGGTTATCTGGCTTGAACAGTTGTTGCTCTGCATCTACATGGGCCATACGAAAGAAGAAGATTGTTTAACATCTGTGATTGTCCGTGTGACTACCCCCACGATGGCGGGAGAAGAGATGTACAGTGGGTGATGAGGGCAGAATGGAGATAGGCTATGAATAACGTTAAGATAGGAGATACAGGGACTCCTCTACTTACGAACGAATTTGGTTCCAGAGGCCTGTTCGTAACTCGATTTGTTCGTAAGTCCAACTTTTCTCCTATTGATTCCAAAAATGTTGTACAGCATGTACACTAAACACAGGGAATGGCTTTAAAAGTTGTATAATCTCATGTACATGTGGATGCCACTGGTTCTTCATATTCTGCAGATTTAGATGCCACCACTACCATCTATTGTTCGGCGGTTGAACTTGAGACTATCGGTCCGAATAGGCAACTGCACATACGAATAGGTTTGATCGTATCTTTGAAAGTTCGTAAGTCGAAAGTTGGTAAGTAGAGGAGTCCCTGTACACTATTTTGAGCCAGGAATTTAGACACACTGGCTGAGTAGTTTGACATCAGCCTCCTTCCTCCCTGTGGGTGGACCAAGCCACCTGTTGTTATAAAATGAACATCTCATCGGATGCTCATCAGTGGTCACCTCAAACAGGTGGCGATGCGACGTCCCTTGACGGCAGTCGCTATGAGCAAGCCACGTTGCATGGGCTCTGTTTTACCGATCGCCTTGGACAAAAGGGCGCTGCTGTAGGTACGTATGTTGATCTTCTTACGCGTCGTACGTAGCTAACCGTACCAATCCGAGGTTTGGGGGAAGAGGAGGGCGCGCGACAATACTCGCTGACAATGGCGTTCACACTCCCAGGCTCACATCGCGCAAATCTCAGTAATCCTCGCAGCAGTGGCTTTTGGCTGCTAGCCATCAAACAAAGACGTTCACCGCATCGCGCGCACTTTCAGATGCGTTTCTGCGGCCGTCTGGAACGCTCTTCCTCCCAATTTTAGGATGCCACTGGACCTATGCACTGTTAAATCATTTAGATTGAAAACTAATTTCTTTCGAACGGATTTTTGTGTTTAGTCTGTCGCCCTTCCCCTGCACCTCCGATTAGCATGGTTGGCTACGTACGGTGCAAAAGAAGTTGAACATACATACATTCTCCACCCCATCATCACCACATCATCATCATCACGTCATCATAACCACCACCTTATCATCAAGCCACTGGAGCTATGCACTTCTAAATATAGATTAAAAACTCATTCCTTACGAACTGCTTTTTTTCTCTGCAGTTTGTTGTCCTTCCGCCGCACCTTCAATTTGCACGGCTGGCCACATACGGCGTGAAAGAACTTCAACATACGCACATGCACACGCATGACAGTTGCATGGTAGTCGGGCGGCCCCTGCGCTTGGGCGTCTGTCTTTCAATCTTCCACCGGTGGCCGTTTTGCGAGACGGCGAACAAGGAGCGGGCACAGCCGCGATTGGCCTTGCGGGGGCAACCGTTCGCGCTTGCAGGCTCATTAATTCGCAGGTGCCGGTATTTACAGCAATGTCACGGTGTTGGAACGTGCACATTCACACCGGAGTCGTTTAATGAGTTTGCCAACGAGGAGGATTTTAGGTCCTGGAATTGCTTTCACCCGACAAAACGGCTGACCCAATTTGAGATGAGACCGAGGCGTGGACAGGATGTCAGAGTGGATTATTGTGTCGGGTTTGTATTTATTTTTAAGAGTGCTTGCTTAATTGCCGTATTGTTAAGTGTACTTCGCGCTGAACAAGCATTATATATACGAGAATTCGCCATCACGAGCAATTTGAGTTGACACCCATTTGTTTTGCACAACGAGCAAAATGTTCACTTACCGAGTGGAGACTGTTCGATGAATGTGCGTCCCGTGGTGGTAGGGGGCGCACGGTGGCCAGCAGCTGTTTGTGTGCCAGCTGTGCTCGAAACGTCGTGCTTGGTCATGTGGGAGCAAGGGGTGGGGGGGGGGTCTCAGGTGGGTGAGGGAGTGGTCGGTATGGGTATGGGGAGCGGTAGTGTAGCAGTTCGATTCCCGCTCATGGGCAACACCAGTGACGATTATCTGAGCTGGTTTTGGGTATCTCCTAGGTCGACCCAGCCTCATCCACTTTTTAATTTCATTTTTTTTTTATCTTGTCTACATAAGGCAGATTCTACCCTGATGTGTTGGCAAATGCGGTTTGTTAGACATTCGTTAATTAACTTGTTTCACAAGACTCTTGTCTTGCAAATATTTCTCTTCATCTCCACGTCGCAACCTTTTTTTAAGGTCTACAATTTCCTGTAAAATATGTACCTCACAATCGTCAATAACACTGCCTTAAAATTGTATATATATAATAGGCAACATTTTGGGAAATGGCCCTTAATCATAACACAAATCATATATTTGGCGGATTATGTATTTTTATTTTAAGATCAGTCTATTGATAAATGTATTGAAGTTATGTTGTTTTTAATCACGTGTGTATAACACTGCCAACGTAAGAACATAATCCAATAACACGTTTGTAAAATAATTTTCCCGGAGTTCAGCCCCACTGAACGTTTTAATGACAATGCCATTCACATTTTCGGCTTTTATTTCTTCTATCCATTTGGGGGGGGGGGGGGTGGGTGGGGTAGGAACACCTCCTAATGTCATCTTGTTGATGTTTCTCCAAAAAAAACAAAAACAATCAGAGCCCTTAAATTGTTTTGCCATTTCGGTCGGCACACACACACACACACACCGCACGTGTGCGTGAACACTCAAAGCATCGGGATATAATGAACACGTGGCAGGGTTTCAATCCGCAAGCTTTCGTTTGCCTTCGCCCAGCCCCATGGATGCCCTTCTTAGTCCGCGGGGGCAACACGTGTTCCCCTACCGAAGGATTCAGCACCAAGAGCCCTTTTCTGCAGACTTCGGCCCGTGTGACCCCCCCCCTCCCCCACGAGAGCCGGTGCTCATTTCCAAACCGTATTTTAATTGCCACCGAGAGCACATAACACAGCGAGTAAATCATCGACAACCTTTAGATAACGGTGGCACGAGCCGATTGTCGGCACATGCCCGCGCAGCGAGGGTGAAAAATTAAATCCACGCAGCGAGATTAAAAGTCAGATGCTGCGTGCAGAGCTACCAGGTTCGTCAGGGGGAATGGGTTCCTCAATTTAAATCAATTCTCACGCTCGTGATGCAATCGTGACATTCTGCGAGCAATACTATTGTAATTTGAGATTTCGTGAATGTTTCTATTAAAAAAATAAAATGCATAACCTGTTTGCACGCTGGACTTGCGACTTGGTTTTACAAAATCCCAGCGAGGCGCTTTGTGCCATTAAATTTCCTCGCCTCTGTCCCCCAAGCAGCGTTACATGGGGTACACGATGCAGCGGTTATGTCCATCGACGGGTTGTGTGTGGTAGGGGGGCTGGGGGGGGTACGTGTGGGTATCCCTACCTCTTCTCAGAAATCTGGCTGGCGTGGAAGAAGAGAACAAAAAAAACATTATAGGTTTTTTTAAAATTTCTTTTCACCTGGGGTCACAATTCCTCTGCACCGCACCGTAGCCTCCCCCTTAGACCGGCCCACTCGATGCGTATTGGGGCCTTTGAATCGGCAGATGAGATTCAACACGGGAATCTGCTGACGAAATGCCGTCCCTTGCCTATAACATCCAGGAATTCACCAGCGATGATTCAAGCAATCCACTCTACTGATGAGACACTGTATTTGAATCAATGCTGCTGAATGCATGCCCTCTTAGAAAGCCGTGGTGGCAGATGGATTGTGTAAGAATTTTTTTTTTTAGGTGGAGAGAAATAGGTTTGAATGAGGTATTGTCTGCTTATCTATTGGTCTGTAGGGCAGGTGTAGCATTGGCGAAACTCCCACCTTTACCATTTCGTAAAAAAATCGTCCGAAATATAAGCAAATTCAGGTGAAAGTGGACAATATTTGTCAACAAACCTCTGATTATGGATGTGGTAAAGATGTGAATGGTACCCTATATGGTGTATTATCTCCCGTTCTGTCTTTTTGAGTTCCGTTATGTTCCATCAGCATTTAATTTCCCTATTAATTATGCAAATTATAGAGAATTGTTTTTTGCACTCGTATTTTGATGCGCATATCATGATCATAACAATCCATTTGTTTACATTCCGACTCATTGTAGTCTCGCTTGGTTGTGATGGGTATACAGTTGATGATCGGGCAGTCCCGGGCCGATCCGGGGAAACCGGCGAAACCGCTCGAAAGGTTTGAACCAGTCCGGTGATCGGCACCCCGTGCGTGACAAATAAAAGCGGCTACGCTTGAATTTAGTGTCAAATATTATATACACTACATTGCACACTACATACAAATTGACTAATGAAAACACAGCACGTATATACATCACCCCATCATCCAGAGTCTTCAAGAGTGGTAAGTGCTGTGCAGTACATGCAGATGCAGTAACATTTTTTTGTCAATTTGTACGATTTAGTTATGCAAATTTCATTGGCATGTGATACAAGCATGTGTAATAATAAACTATTTTAAATAATGATTTGGTGATTATCCAGCGTTTTGAAAATCCGGCGCCGCCTCGCCCCTGAAGCTGCCAGATAATCCATTATCTCCTCTATGTATACATACAGCGCACTGTTATGATATTTATAGATACGTACGCCCGCAAGCACACACGCAGCGTAAAGTGCGGGTAAAACATGCACATCTAGTTTGAAGGGACACTACTTCGAAAAGAGAAAGATATTCGAAAAAAAAACGAGACAATCCTAAGCACGAAAATGAGTCACGCTTTCATTTTATGTCTGTTTTCATGGGAATTTGGGTCAAATGGGTTAAGCCTGAAGAAAGCACAACGGTAATAGCATTTGCAGCCAACTTTAGCTGGTGATCCGGCCATCGCAACAAAAAAAAACGAATGACCCCCAATGCACCCCGGGCCCATCAATACCGTCGGGATAAAACAAGGGCCTGCACTTACTCTCCACACGATAGTCACTTGTGCCGCCTGGGTACAGTTTCTCCAAGGCTTTCCTGTTGAAGGGGAAATATACCGCTGCTGTTGAGAACCATGCGATGGTCTATTTTTTTTTCTCTTTTGGGTGAGATTTTTTTGGATACCAATTTTTGTTTGTTAATTACGATTGCGGTGTCGGTATCACGCCAGTGAGTTGGAACATCTCACGGGCATCGCGTTGCCCTGCTGAGGAGGAAGGTCCACCGAAGGGGCTATCGTACTTCTAAGTCACCTCTTATCAGACGCCAGCGGTAGTGGCACTTTCCCACACACTCTGCCTATAGAACTACTTGTCACACAGCGGTCAAACTGAAATGTTCAACACTTAATGGCTGGAATTTGGCCAAATTCCATGCAAAATCACATTTTATTTCAGTTTCATTCACGCTATCAACTTGTTACCCGTGAGAACCCAGCATAATCAGTGGGACATGCTCAGTGCTCTGACCCCAGAATAGTACGGCCACCTCATGGAACAAATCATCCTCGGGCTGCAGTGCAAAAGTCAAAGTGCATCTCGGCTCTAATGGGCGCTGGGCAGCGTTCACGCGGGCAAAGAGCAGATCTCGACCACCTCCATCACGGCACCGTCCAGCCGGCTGTCCAAGGGACTCGTGGGTTCGTCAGATCCGTCGGGGTTACCGGCGTAACCATGCAGGAGTCTTTCTGCAATGCTGCGAAATGTGAACACGATGCTTGGCGCTGGAGGTCATCGTCACCTGCGCATTTCTCTTGATGACGGTGAGCACTCATCTTCTTTCGTGGTGGAAAAGTCACATTCCTATCTTCAAGCAACAGTCTTTCCATTTGGGCTACACCTTCTGTACACCTTCTGACTTCCCACAAAGTGGGACTCGTTTCATTCATCTCCCCATCCACCGCTTGCCCCTTCCTCCATTTTTTTGTTCATCAAAACATTCTGGGAGTAAACACAGGTCTGTTAGACCATGTAACATTTAAATGACGCTTGCTCCATCATCATTTGGGGGCAGCGCTTCTTGAAGCAAGAAAACTCTGGACCGGTTTCAACTATGCGAGTCTCAACAGCAGTGTGTGGCCAGTCTTCGGCTGGATAATCCTTCCTCCAGAAGGCTTACAGGCTGATGGACAAAATGCGTGCGTGGTTTTATTTTTACGTGATGAAACAGACCCGCATCCCACAACAGCAGCGTGTAATGAATTTCGTACTGTACATGTTTTGCTGTACTGCTCCAAATGGGTCCCGTGGTGTTAGTGAAAGCCTCTTGCCAGTAGCAAAGCGGTGTGCTGGTACGTACATGCGTACCGTTGTTTGCTTATTTATTAATTATTTTACTCCCAAAAGTCCACCACAAAAGCAAACGTGAACCATCGATTGGTGCAGTCCATCCCGGTGTCAATAAGCCTGATTTTAAAAGAAAAATATATATTATTGAAACTTTTATGTTACGATTACAATCGAAAAGGCTCTTCAGAGATATTGCCTTCATAAAGATACAAATTAATTATCGGTGTCATGACGTTATGCCGACAGCATGATTGGGGATAAGATCGTGGAGATTTCCCTATAATAACCCCACTCCTAGGCAATGACAGAACTTAATCAAACACTGTAAGCCGAGCTTTTTTCTCCTTATTAAATAAATACTGGTACAAGAAGAGCACCATTAACTCTAGATGCTGGATGTAATTACCAGCGTAACGTCCTACTCAAATTTTAAATTATGTTGATTCACTCTTCAACACACCGGTTGGCTAAAGTAGTGAACTATTTGCCCTTTGTAAACGTGACACATTTTTTTTACTGTTTGGCCGTGTCGGGTGGTGGAGGGTTACGACACATTTATAAATAACGCGATCTAACCCAAAAACTATTATTATGAATAATATTGGTCGCGAAAGGCTACGTGTTAAAATGTACTCTAACATT